TAAAAGTATGTGGGGGGGGAAAAACAGCTTCTGCCCTGTGTCCTGTCACTGAGCTCAGCTGGAGCAGAGCAGCTGCCTTCCCCGAGATAGAAGAGCGAAGTTGGTGGGAAGGCAGGTCCCCATGGCTCTAATGAAATCAAAACAATTCTGAGCACTCGGCACCCATAGATCTCAGGGTGGCCCAGCACGACTAGCTCCATTTTACGGGGAGGGGGAAATTGAGGCACAGAGAAGTGAAGTGACTGACTTGTTAGGGTCCCTTTGAGTCAGTGGCAGAGATGGGAGAAGAACCCTAGTCTCCTGAGGCCTAGGCTGATGCCCTCACCACTAGACAACACGATCTCCCTATCCTGGGCACACTCTCCAGCCCCCCACTCTGTTGTACCTCTGGCTTCCAACAGGCTGTTTTATTGTCATGGGCTTTGCTGTCTGTATTGCTCATTCCTGCTCTGGTTACTCACCAAGGCAGGTCTGAGTACGTGGAGGGGGACCAGGTGTCCGGTTTTCGACTGGAACACCCGGTCGAAAAGGGACCTCGGCGGCTCTGGTCAGCACCACCGGCCGGGCCGTTAGAAGTCCGGTCGGCAGTGCTGTGGAGCTAAGCCAGGCTAGTTCCTACCTGTCCTGGCTCCGCGCTGCACCCCGGAAGGGGCCAGCAGGTCCGGTTCCTAGGCTGAGGGTGGGAGGCCCCCACAGGTCCATGCGCTGCCCTGCCCTGAGCACCGGCTCCGCACTCCCATTGGCAGGGAACTGCGGCCAATGGGAGCTGCAGGGGCGGTGCCTGTGGCTGAGAGCAGCGCACAGAGCTGCCTGCCACGCCTCCACCCAGGAGCTGGACCTGCTGCTGGCCGCTTCCGGGGTACAGCACGGAGTCAGGACAGGCGGGGAGCCTGCCTTAGCCCCCCCACTGCACCGCTGACCGGGAGCGACCGGAGGTAAACCCGTGCCCCAACCCCAAGCCCCCCCCCAAACCCCTCATCCCCAGTCCCACCCCAGAGCCCTCATACCTTCCACACCCCAACCCCCTGCCCCAGCCCAAAGACCCCTCCTACACCCTGAACCCCTATGCCCCCCCCAGCCTGGAGCCCCCTCCTGCATCCCAAACCCCTCATCCCCAGAGCCTGCACCCCCAGAGAGAGCCCTCACCCTCCCTGCACCCTACCCCCTTACCCCAGCCCAAAGCCCCCTCCCACACCTTGAACCCCTCTGCCCCATCCCCCAGCCTGGAGCCCCCTCCTGCACCCTGAACCCCTCATTTCTGGCCTCACCCCAGAGCCCACACCCCCAGCTGGAGCCTGCACCCCCTCCCGCACCCTTGCCCCAGCCCAGGGAAAGGGAGTGTGGGTGGGGGAATGTAGCCGAGCAGGGGGCATGGCCTCAGGGAAGAGGCGGGGCTAGGGTGTTCATTTTTGTGCGATTAGAAAGTTGGCAACTCAAGTTACATGGCCCACGCCCGTCTTTCATGCCCCTGCAGGATGTTGAGTGCTGACACTCTCGGCAAAGCAGTGATTTCCATTAGGCAGACTCTCGGGTATTCGTTATTTGGGCTAAACCGGTGTCATCTTAGCTGCACACTGGGCCAACCCCGTGTCTTGCTGAAGTCAGTAAGAGAGGGGAGGCCCTCAGGCTTCTGGCAAATCGATCGCTTAGTGCCCAGCGACACAAAATTTTGGCTGCCCATTCCTACGGTTTCACTGGGGCCTGGAGTGACTATTAATGGTAACTAATCACCAGGCATTTGGGGGTTAAGAGAACATCCCCCTGCCTCCCCCCCACCCATGCATTTTACCCTCTTGTTGATCTTTCCACCAGCCCAGCTACAGGACAGATGCATTTTTGTCTGTGGTCCCTCCCCTGACCCCTCTCCCCAACCTTCCCCATGGGGTTGCACCTTTGGGGTTGAGAGATGCGTTTGCAAAGGCCCAGCAGATTCATCCTTTCATCCCCCTTCTAAATGTGTCTGTAACCTGATTTTGGTACATCTTTCCAGCTCCTCCCCCACACCCGCCACAACCAAAGGGTGGCAAAGGGTCTGCAGGGACCGTGGGGCAGGGGGTCCCGGCCAAGGGAAAGCAGCAGCCACGAGGAGAGAAAAGATCTAGAAGGGAACCGGGCTGCAATAAGCGACGGCTGCAGGCACAGACAAAATGACAAATACAACGTTCCCGGGGGTGTGATGGAAACCCCTAGGGCCCCGCTGGATGAACACAGCGATGCTGTGCCAATGGCTCCTGCCACGGGCTGCAGCATCGCTAGGTAAGGAAAGAGTCAGTTTCTCCCAAGATGTGGGAAACTGCAGCCGGGGGTGTTTTCTCAGCCAGCGTCCCCCTCACCCCACCCCCAGCTTTCTGCCAAAGACCCACGATTCCTTCCCTTCTGGATTTCTAACGCGCCTTTCACTGCGGCGGGGAGGCAGGAGACATCGCTCTGGGAATAAAGGCTGAGCGGAGATCTCCCGGCCCCTTCCTCGTATGAGGCCACTTCCCCAGCAGAGCCAGTCTCAGAAAAATTTGCACCAGTTTTAACTAAATTGACTTCAACATCAGTTCTAGTTGGACAGGTGTAGCCCCCGGCCAGAGACGTGTTTAAGCCAGTTCACCCTTTGCTTATAAACAATGCAGATTCAGCCAGTAAATTACTGCCTCGCACAGGTATGGTCTCATCCCTCTCCGCTCCCAGGGGCAGGATCCTGGCCTGCTCTCTTACTGTGGGGAGGCAGGGTGTGGGGAAGGCCCATGTAAAGAGTGATTTGTTTGAGGGCCTGTCACAGGGTGCTCTGCTCACTGCTGGTCTGGCGCCTCCTCCTGGTCACTCGGGGGAGTAGCTCTCAAGGTAGACACCCCCTTCTGCGATTTGCACGCCATCCCTCTGTCTCATCCTCTGGTCTGCAGCGCCTCTCTGACTCCAGGACCCTCAGCGTGTCCTCCATGACGTAGCCCTCCAGCCAGGTCACTCAGCGTGCCCCCTTCCAGGGTACAGTCCATCAGCAGTCCTAGGCAGTCTTGCCATTCGCTGCCTCCAGGCTATGCCACGTCCTCGGTAGCTGGTAGGGGAAACCAGGTCTGCCCCCTTTTCCGGGTTCCAGTCCAGAGACCCTCAGCTCAGCAGTTCTGAGCTTTCCTCTCTGCCTTCACGGGCCCCTTCTCTGGACTGTGTCCTACACTCTGGTTCCCCTTCTCTGGATACTCCAGCTCCAAATCCTCCTCCCAGGAGGAACTGTAGACTAGCGCCTTGCAGCACTCAAACACCCTCCCTCTTCCCAGGGAGCAACTGCCCTTTCTCAGCAGCCCTGGCTGGGGCCTATTCCTTGGCTTTATAGGTCCGGCCTCTTCCTGCACAGGTGAGCCTCTCTCCAACCAGCTGCCTCTGATCTAACGCTCCCCTGTTTGCGGCCTATTTAGCTGTTTGGCCCCACCCAGCCCTTGCAGGGCTAGTGGGAGGAGCTCACCCCACCTCAGGGCCCTTTCCTTATACAGCCAGCGTTTTCATAGTCTTCCGAGCCCTTTCCCCCATTTAACGACGTCCACACCTTTACTGTGCAAGACTCTCAGACAAGATCTGGCCTGCCTCCTGGCACTTCAGAGGGGATTCCTGCAGTGCCTTTGGCTCACCCTTCCCCGCCCCAGTGCCGATGCGTCCTGTGTTTACATGGTGCGATAGTGTAAGATACACCCCCTGTCCCAAGGAGCTTCCAAGCCAAGTCAGACAAGCTACAAGACAGCCGGACAAGGAGAGGGAGGAGGTGGGGATTCCTCATGATGAGACAAAAGAAGGATATGGAGGAGAAGCTGGTGTTAAGGAGGAATTTGGAGGAGGGGAGAGAGGGTTGTTGAGGGGAGAGGGACTGTTCTAGGCCTCATGGGACAGCGTGAAGCTGAAACTGGGGGAAAGAGCCAGGACAGGATTGGGAAGAGCAGAGGGATTGAGAGGGGAAAATGAGAGCAGGTGAGGCATGATTACGTGGGACCAGCTTGGTGAGGGTAGGTTGAGATCACTGGCTATGAAGTGTTAATCATAACAGCTGATATTGACCTAGTCATTATTCTGCTGATTAACAGTGATCAGTAACACACACCAGGGAATCTCAAGGTCATTGACGGAAAAAAACAGAGGCCAGCCCTACAGGGGTGGAGGGAACTCGTTTCATTAAAGAACCAGCCAACGCCCGCAGGTTTAAAGTAATCATGGTCACTGTTTATAAATAGTTATGAGAAACCCAAGTGGGGAAGACAGTATGGGAAAGTGCCATGCCGATTACAGGGCTTGATTTCACACCCTGATCGTGCCACCTACCTTCTCTGGGGTCAGATCAACCCAATGCACGTCACCCGAGATTCCATCCTCTCTAAAACAAGCCACAGGACTGACAACAGATTCGATCCCCCTGAAAGAAATGTTAACAGTAACCTGGAAAGGGGGATAAATTGTGAGTTTTGTGCCATTTTAGCTTCATTGTGATATTTGAATAAGGGCTCAAATGGTTTTCTTTCGTGCTTGATTTTTACATTAGAAATTGAGGTCTTCCTGAAAAACTCTATGGACAACTTGTAGGATTATGATATCACAGTTACCAGGCAATTAAGCCTGATTAATTGAGAAAAGAAGGGATTTACATTCAGACTGCTGAAAGCCATTGGTCTAGTTTGTTTTTTGTTAACATGTCATTTAACTCAAATGCTTAAACAGTTGGGAGAAAAGATCTCTTTGTTAAAGAGTCAACATCCCCACCCTATCAAATAAGCCTTAAAGCTCACAAGCCACATCTGAGGTCTCGAAAGAGTTTTCCAGCAAAGCCAGGGAAAGTGGAGGCTTGACATTCCAGATATATATATCTACAAAACTTAAGCAGGAAGCACTTGCAAATAATGAATGACAGAGCTCACTAACTGAGAGCTGGATCCTGCTCCCATTGACATCAATGGCAAATCTCCCCGAAAGAAGAATTGTAAAGATTTATTTGATTCCTTCCTTTTAACCACTTTTTCCTTTCCGTTCCACAGGTGCTCGGCTTGCTGGTGTGGGCTCTCATTGCCAGTACGTTTTACCAACCCATTCCAGCATACGGCTGGGTGATGTTTGTAGCCATCTTTTTCTGGCTGGTAACAATCATTCTGTTTGCGATGTATCTACTGCAGCTTCAGATGAAGCTCTACATGATCCCCTGGCCTGTTGTGGTAAGCCCCTGGAGCTGCAGATAAATGGTGTATTTCACAGGGGAAATCATTCCACGTTAAATGGTTTTATGGGGCTGATGATTAGATGTACCCTAAGATTGATTCCGACAGAACGTCGTCTGCATCCAACATACCTGTATCTTGTCCTGTTATTTGATTTTAACTCGACCCATCAGTTACCGAGACATTGCTTTTAAAAAGCCATCTGAAAAGTGCCACTCTAGCCATTCACTGCAGAGATGAGAGGAGTTCTCCCATCTGTGTAATCAATAATCCACCTCCCCAAGAGTTGGTAGCTAGGTTGATGGAAGAATTGTCCCGTCCACCTGTGGCTGCCTACACGGAGGGTCAGCTTAACTACATCGCTCACCATGTGGATTTTTCACACCCCTGAGCGACACTGCTGGGTTGACTTAAATTTTGAGTATAAACCTGGCCTCTGTGCACTCTAACTTGCATTGAAATGAACGCGACATTCAGCTTCCTTCAAAACACAATAGGCTTCCCTGTCCTCTCATATGCCAGTTTCACACTTGTGTAATGCCATTAATAGAAATCAGGGGCAACTGTGCTGAAGTCACACCTGCTTTATATCCCTTTATACCACGGAGGGGGATCTGGCACCAAGTTATCAAACAGGGGCTTGGGTATATTAGAAAACTTACACAAGTGCAATTAAATCAATTTAGTCACCGCACTCCACCCGCAAATGGAGCTGCACTTAAAGAGGTTTAAGTCACACGTGTAGCAGTTCAGCTTAAGCTCAACTCACATAAATGCATCTTTAATGGTTTGTGCTGGTGAAACTATAGAAAATTCAGTTACACCAGTGCAAATTTTCTAGATGTAAACCAGGCCTAGGAAAGGATAACGTTTTGCAGGGAATAGACACATTTCTCTATGCTTCTAAAAAGCCTTTGACGGTTGAAAGTAAAGGGCACGATGTGATGGGTGATGCTTCAATGAACATTAAATAACTCAGCTGGTTTTAAGGGGACGATTCTGGGTTTACACCAGCGTTACCGCAGTTCTTTGAATTTTGGCCTAAATAAGTAGTGATTTAGGCCTCAGAGCAATATTAGGGATTAACCTTCAACCAACACTGCATCCAGCTTTCAATCTAGTCGGCGTACTGGAACTATTTGTACAGTGGGGGGGCTGAGAGTCACTGACCCAAACTGTAAACCCTGTATATGATGGAAACCACTTCAAGCCAGCACCCCTAGTCCCAGTACCTATAGAATCTAGGCGAGAGCAGGGGACCTGACTCTGTTTCAGTGTTGCAGCCCTCTTAGTTGTAGGCATAGGTGCCGACTCTGTGGGTGCTCTGGGGCTGGAGGGGAAAAATTAGTGGGTACTCTGCACCCACGCTCCCCTCACACCCCGCCCTCCACCTACCTCCCAGCGCTTCCCGCCTGGCTGCCGCCAAACAGCTGTTTGGCAGCATTAGCACACTCTGGAAGGGCCGGGGGAGGAGCGGGAATGTGGCGCACTCAGGGGAGGAGGTGGGGAAGAAGCGGGGCTGGCACAGGGATTTGGGGAAGGAGTTGGAATAGGGGCAGGGAGGGGGCGGAGTTGGGGCAGGGATTTTGGGGAAGGGGTTGGAAGAGGCAGGGCCTCATGGAAGGAGTTAAGTTGGCGCCTATGGTTGCAGGAGTTGAAGGCAGATATACCAGGGAACTAGACCCCAGCGTGGAGGCACAGGTGGTGGTGCCCTGACACAGGAAGGGCCTGACTCCACAGCATTTAGTCCATGTCTGGACAGGCTTTTTAAAGGAAGGAAGTAACCCACTAACAGTTTGCGTCTACATTCCTGGCGTAATGAAATCGCCCTTGAGTTGGAGTGGGAGGTTTGATGCTGCAAGGAATGCAGGATTGGGCCCCAGAAATAACAAAGGCAAAACAACACGGCCTTGCAATAGTAAAACAAAGGGCTGCAGAGCCCTTTGGCTCAAGGCCCGGGAGCGAATTGGACTGGCCCATATAAGGCTGCATGGAGTGAGTGCTCCTCTCTTCAGAATGCCAGGTTGGTTCCCTGGGCAATGCTAGGGGGTTTTATGTCCAGTGCAATTCCTGCTCTTTAACAAACCCCCCATTTTAGTGCACCCAGTCCCTAAGCGAAGTGGGAAAGATACGCTGTCCTGTTAACTACCTGCATAGTCGCTACTTACTCCAAAGGGGTGCTGTTAGTACCAGCGAGGCAGCATATTCGTCACTGCACACCTTCTCTCTTCACTAGCTGTTTAGTTTTCCTCTGTCCGGGTCACTGAGCCACGAGGCTTTTCAGAATTCCCCCGAAGCTGCAATATGTCTACGGGATTCCACAGATCACACTGCGAAAGTCCAGCCGTGATTGTAAATATTACTTTAACCCTCCAAGCAGATTTTTCAAACACTTTCGGCATGATTTAGTGCCGGGGTTCTCAACCTTCTTCTTTCTGAGCCCCCTCCAACGTGCTACAGAAACTCCACTGCCCACCTGGGCCACACCTTGTTTTTCTGCATATAAAAGTCAGGGCCTGTATTGGGGGTAGCAAGCAGGGCAATTGCCCGGGGCTACGTGCCACAGGGGCCCCCATGAAGCTAAGTTGCTCAGGCTTTGGCTTCAGCTCCAGGTGACGGCGCTCGGGATGGCAGGGCTTGCTGCCCTAGGCCCCGGTGAGTCTAATGCCGGCCCTGCTTGGCGGCCCGCCCCCAGGGGGCCTCGGACCCCTGGTTGAGAACGGCTGATTTAGTTCATGCTTTATTTGCTATTGCAAATCAGCAGGGTGAACACAAGTGCTGGATGCAGTTGCATGCAGTAACCTGAGTTGTGCATACAACCAACCTGACACCTACTGTTCAAAGAAAACAGCACACTTCAGATGTTTATGTGCATTGGCCTGCTACACCCAGGGTTGTGAGTTCAATCCTTGAGGGGGCCATTTAGGGATCTGGGGCAAAAATAAGGGACAGTACTTGGTCCTGCTGTGAAGGTAGGGGACTGGACTCGCTGACCTTTCAAGGTCCCTCACAGTTCTATGAGATAATAAATATATAATAATATGGAGATATACTTATCTAATGCATATTCTATGGGCCTATTCAAAACGTAATGCTTCTTCCTCACCTTTCAAGCATGCACAGGATGTTTCTGGTATGGCAATCAGAAGTGAAGCCGTTAGCAGTGCTCACTTACCTGTGCTATAACACAGTGCTCCTTGCGCTGGACATGGGTTTTCTGATACCATTTGCAAATTCACAGGGGCGAGAGGTGGGGAAACCTGGCCTTGCCCCTCTTCATGAGAACGGGTTTTTCCAACCGGAGATCTTTGCTAAACTCCTCTCGGCCAAGGGATACTGCTGGGGTGGAGCCAGGTGAATTAATATATTTTTGTGTGTGTGTGTGTTTTACATTTTCAGAAGTGACCAGTCATGGTGGGTGCCCCATTTAAGACATCTGAAAGGGGCCTGGTTTTCAGACAGGTCTGGGCAAATCAGCGTGATAGATCAACAAGTAACAGGAAGAAAAGGAAACAGAGTGGTCCCTTTGACAGAAAACATCCTTTTCTTTCCCTAGTTAGTGATATTCAACACGGCTGCGACTGTCCTGTACGTGACTGCGTTTATTACGTGCTCCGCTGCCGTTCAGGATCACATCCGGCTACCCGGGGACTACAATAAAAGAGCAGCTGCATCAGTAAGTATCGAATGCGGCCCTTGCTTTTCCTATTTCTCTCTGCTATGGGACCCTTCTGGACTGTGCTGTGTTCACCTAGGCCTTGTCTGCGCTACACAGTTAAGTCGTCCTACATTAGGTCAACTTGCAGCCACCGCAGTAATTACTGTGTTTTCTCATGTCCACACTGCCCTTCTTCTGCCGCTGGAGTGCGTCCTCACCCGGAGCACTCACACCGACTGAAGAGGGGCATTAGGGGGGAGCTCCCACCTGGGAGCCCGACTGCCCGGTGCTGGGGACACCGTATTGCCCTAACTACATTGACCTAAGCGATAGGTGTACCTAGCCTCTGTTTGCCAGAAGCTGGGAATGGGAGACGGGATGGATCACTTGATTCCCTGTTCTGTTCATTCCCTCTGGAGCACCTGGCACTGGCAGAAGACAGGACACTGGGCTAGATGGACCCTTGGTCTGACCCAGTAGGGTCGTTCTTATGTACGCCTCTCATGATGGTGGAGTTATTAGGTCAGTGCAGTGTGCGACTGACATTGACAGGAACAACACTGTAATGTAGACACAGAGTTAGGTGGACGTAGGCTGCCTTACATAGGCCTAACTCTGGAGTGTCGACCTGGCCCTTGAGACTAAATGACTTGTACCTACCCGAGATCCAAACCAAGCAGGAAAAAGGAGCGAGGCTTTTAGGAAGATGAGTGAAAGTGACCCAGGTGGACAGGACTGTCAGTTCAGCAATGTGTTACCTGGCTGGTGTGTTCCCTCCACAGTCTGTTGCCAGCACGCTTGGCTCTCCCACTGAGAGGCTCTGTTTTCAAGGTACAGAGCCAAGGCAAAGGAGAGCAGTCTGTGTAAAATCCCCTCTAGGCAAGCCAGGGAAACTGTTAGCACCTTTCTAGCAAGACATGCTTCCTCAGAGCGATTTTAGTATCAACACAGGATCTGTGCGGTGCAGGTGGGGACGTGAGGCCCCACCCATGCTGCTGGTGTCACCAATGAGTTAATGAACCAGGTGAAACCTTTTGTTCCATTTTAGTGGGGTCTCAGAATCAGCTCAAAGAACAAAGGCTCTCAGTTTCCCCCGAGCACAGAGATGACCCTCTACCCCAGCTCTGCAGCATCTCCTCCTGCTGGTCAATCCTCTACTCTGCTAGGAAAACACAGCTTCCTCATATAATGCTGTTCCCCACCCACTCCTCTGCAAAATGCCAGCCTTCGTGCCCTGTTTGTCCAATTCTCCCATGGCTGTCTCTGGGCTGTCCTGCATTCTGCTGCCCATCTCCTCGGGCTGATACACCAGGTCGCCAGCCTCTCCTGCAAATTCCTGCTCAAGCCCAACTTCTGCTGTGATACCTACAAGAAATTAGTCAGCTAATGTTGGTTCACTAGGAGAGCAGCTGGGGAAGAGTTCATGCAAAAAATATGATAAAATAAATCCAAACAAAGCCCCCCCAACACACACCTTCCCCATCATGCTGCTATGGGTTTTCCTTTCCCCCACCCTTCATCTGTTGTCTTAAAGACTAAGCTCTTCAGGGCAGTGACCAGGTTGTCTCGTGTTTGGACCATGCCTAGCTCACCAGGCAGGCACTTACTGCTACATAAATAACAATGAGGCCCGCCTGCCAGGCCCTCACCTCTTTGGCTGGGTCACCCAGCTGCAGCCAGGCAGCACAGCTGGCCTGTCACTCCTCTGGGTCCTCCTGTACCAGGCTCAGCCTCATGACCTCCTGCTTCTCCCACAGCTGCCACTCTTTCTCCTTCCCCGTTTTACTCTTGGGGAAAAAATGGGGTTACTCAGCATGCAGGGGGCCAAAACATGATCGAAAATCAGGCTTTAGCCTAGCTAAGAGCCTAGGCAACGCTACTGTCTAGTTTAGGTCCCCACCTTGGGGAAAGACCATCCTCCTCCTAACTGATAGGTCTCATTGCCATGGCCAGCCAAAACGCTGGTAGACCCTGCTTGGCCATCATGCGTGATATTATGAAAGGCTTTAAACCATGCTGTTATAGCCGGTTAGATGGGCATCCTGAGGCACTCTTCAGAAGGGATTTTTAGCCCCACCCATCTAGAAATCTCAGCTCCAGGAATGGCCATTTCTCAAGGGGGTCTCACTTGTGTTTGAGAACTTTGGCCCAGACCCACAAAGGTATTTAGGTGCCTAATTCTCATTGATGGGCCCCATGTGGATCCAGTATCAAAATAAGCAGCTTTCAGTCACGCTCAGTGGCTCCTGTTTCTTACTTGTGCCATGCACGTAGGCGGTGCCACTAGATGAAGTCAGGTAGAGGGACACAGGTTCCTGCTCTTTAAAAGGATCTTGCATCATAAGATTGACTTTTAAAAATTCTTTGCATGTTTAAACTGGACGGCATCCCTGCACTTTACAGACAGGAATGGATGGAGCCTCACCGACTCCTTTAGGTGACATTTGACACACACGATCCCCCCTTTCACAGCAGAGGGGGAAGGGAGGGGGGAGTTGGCACAGCGTTAAGTAACTTGCCTGGGCTCCTACAGTGAGTCAGTGGCAGAGGCAGGAATAGGACCCATTGATAGAGCCCGTCCTTGCCTTTTGTGCCGAGGCAAGATGCACTAAATCAGGCATCCGTCAGACCAGGCATTTAGTAGGGCAGCTGCTGCTGCTAGCTGACTGAGTGCCACGGATTCTAAGCACCGTGCTCGGCAGCGTTAGCATCAGTGTTAACAACACTCTGCTGCAGAGAAACTAACCGAGCTTTGTTGTGTTGCTCTCTCTTTCAGTTCTTTGCCTGCATTGTGATGATAGCCTATGGGGCCAGCACTTTCTTCAGCTTCCAGGAATGGAAAGGATTTGGCAGCAATGCAGCAACCAGTCAAGTGACTAACTAACCCCCCCTCCTGCCGCGCTGGGTCTCTTGAAGGCAGTTTACCGTTGACAGGGTAGGGGCGGGAGGGCTTGCTGGATTTGCATTGAGCAAGGGAGCCTCTCATTCAAATCAGTAGTGGCTGAAAATCATTACTGGCCAATAGCTGTTTGGTGGCCTACGTGAGGGCTGACACGTGGTCTTTTAATGCAGCTTACAGTGGATAAGTGTCCACAGCACAAAACCCACCACAACTGGCATCCTTGTATGGTGAAAGACTGACTTGGGAGACTGAAGTCTCTGGAATTGGTGTCTTCATGTCACAGTAGCTTAGGGCAGGGGTTCTCACCAATGTCACGGCCCACCAGTGCCCCAATAACTGTTTTTCTGCACATAAAAGCCCAGGCCGGCATTAGAAGGCAGCAAACAGCAATTGCCCAGGTCCCCATGCCAGGCAATTGCCCAGGGCCCCTAAGCTGCTCAGGCTTTGGCTTCAGCCCCAGGTGGGCCCCGGGCTTCAGCCCTGCACAGCAGGGCTTTGGTTTTCTGCCCTGGACCCCAGTGAGTAACATTAGTCCTGCTTGGCAGACCACCTGAAATCTGCTCGCAGCCCCCCCAGGGGGCTCCAGACCCCTGGCTGAGAACCACTGGCTTAGGGGAAATGTATCCGTGCCCTGCCTATGGCGCAAGACTTCAGTCACCAGGACTGGTCAATCCAGCACATTTCACTGGCACTAAATTCACTGAAAATCAAACCAAGACTCCTCCCACAGCCACTTGCAGCTCTAATGTAAATAATGAAAAATTAACTCTTTGGTTGAAGCAATGGCGGAGTTGTGGGAATGGAAGCTAGGCGATGGTACGAGATTGCAACCATTATTTTATTGATTTCTAAAATCTGAAGTACAAGTTGTATGTTATAAATAAAAATCTTTCTAAATCCAACAGTTGGTCAAGGAAGTTTTTAGTAGAAACTTTCTTCCCTCCTGAAAAAGCCATTGTAAGGTAAAACTTCATGCCATATAGAAAGCAGAGAGATTCACTTGCACAGTAAAGTAGTACTCACCAGGAGTAATGACATCATAGAGTTTAAATCCAGAGGGGCCCCCTAGATCAGCTTGTTGACCTCCTGTATGTGACAGGCCACTAAGACCACCCCGCACCCGCACAGAATCTGGTCCCACGGGTATAGCTATCAAATGTATTGGGTTTGCCCAATGCTGCTTTAATATTTAGAGTTAAGTCACAGGTTTATCATGCTTCCTACCTTAGACAGAGATGATGAAATCCTGGCCCCAATGAAGTCAGTGGGAGTTTTGCCATTGATTTCAATATTTTGGGTGAAATCCTGGTCCCACGGAACGGGGGAGAAGAGTCAAATAATTAAGCCCCCCCCCAAGCTGCAGGTGATCTCCAAAAAGATAACATTGTGGGTGATCTGATGCTAATTCACACCAGCAGGGGATGTGGCCAGTCAAGTCCAATTTATGATCTTTAAGGGACTTGTGGAGGTGGGGAGAAGAAAATCCAGAAAATGGCATTGGTACCCAATCAGATAGAAACATCATCCTGGCTTTCCTTTGATATACTTTGCTTGTTCAGGGTTTGTTAAAAGCCTAAACATAGTTTGGGCTAACTTTCTCACTTACAGGGAAAATAGCTAAACGTTCTTTTCCTACCTGTTTAGACCAAGCTCTTGTCGTTCTTCTTTATGCAGTTGACTCCGGCTCTAAACTAATTCCAAGTTTCAGGATAAAAATACCAAAAAACCCCTCAAAAAAGATAAAAACTCTTTAGAGACAAATAACTATGCATTTGTTTGAGGAAAGAAATTCTAAACTCTGAAAAGTAAATCAGACTTGCATAGAGATATTGCATTTGTATGTAAAAATTTAATTTGTTTTTAAAAAGCTCTGCATGCGAGATAAAATCAGAAAGTCTAGTTACATGCATGTTGTAGAGATGGACAATAATGAAGATGCTAGAGTGTAGGAAACATGCAGGGCAGAAACAGGCAAACACACTGGGCAGAAACTGTACTCATGGGAACAGGGAGTAAAAATAAGAAGTATTAGATCCCAGTGGTGCCCCCACTGAAGTCTGTGGGGTTTTCCCCTTAAAAAATGTGACAACAGGATTGGGAATTTAACAGCTAAACTATAAAAAAGGCTTGGATCACAAACATGCTAAACTTTAACATAGGTTTAGCTCAGCATTTATATAGGAGTACCACATGAAGACTGTTTAAATCAACAGAAGTAATACGTATAGACTAACACGCACACAAGTAATACATATAGACTAATCAGCGCTCATGACTACAACCATAGTTCTCTGCATACAACTAAACCAGCAAAACTGCAGATATAAACACTAGTTAGTTTTCTATTGCCCTTTTACCCAATGCACTAATTATAAAGGCTAGCTAAAAAATGGATTGGGCGAGATTCGAGTGTAAAGTTCACAATACAGATATACCAGAAAGGAGGAGGGAAAGGAAGCCCACACAAGTTGCGTTACAGACAATGAATTTAGCTACTCTGGCATACAGTGAACACTATAAAATTCCACATCCAGATAACTACCTTAAGCTGTTCCTTATAGACTCTGACATTACAAGTTACCGAGCTATAAAATCACTATATTTGGAGAATTGTTTTGAGATGCTCATTTCCATCATTGCAAATGACGAATAATCTGAGCAGTGGTAACAATAAAGGAATAAATACTTTTCCCCCTCATCCCAAGTTCAACTTCAAGAGCATTCACATTTGTAACTTTAATCAATTATTTCAATTCAACACTGAACAATGAATTGTTAAAAATGTTTCAGTATGATTCTTTTAAAATTTGACAAAACCTACTCCCAGTACAAAAACAATTTCAATATAATACATGTGTAAAAAGAGGATAGTGACAAAAGAATTCTAGCCCATACACTGAAATGAAAAGAATAGTCTGATTCAAATCTTCTACAAGCACTGTCTTTAGACGATAAGTATTTTCTTTAGAGACTGAACAAGCTTTCCCAGCAGTTGGTCCAATAGATTTTTAGGCTAGCTGGGAGAACTGCATTCAGCCTGGACCAAACATTTAACCTAAAAGAACCTCTCTCATCTCTTCCCAAAGTACCTGTGTGGTCTTCAGTGGTGGATTATGTACCCCTGGGAAAACACTGATCTTTATGGCAGAGATGGTACAAGGCAACACCTTGTAACAAAATGGGAAATGCAGACATCTTTTGAAGGCAGAGCGTAGGCTGGTGTAAGCGGTCATTGTTATCAATGGAGCTATGACAATTTACACCAGATGATGCTCTGCCCTCACATCTTTACTTTGATCCTGCAATTGGATCTACGTGGGCAGACACCAAGCCTACACACAGTCCCACTGACTTCATTATATTGAGCTTCACCACAGGGCTCTGTCTGCAGGATTAGGAATTTATCTTTAAAACTATTATACTGCAACTAATATCTTTAACAAATGTCCACACATTACACTAGCATAGTATTAAAAAGTGATTCAATTTAGCCTTTCATTGCAAAGAGAATTAAGTTTAGCTTGTTTGATGTTCAATAAAGTAGAAAGCTAATACAATTACTTTTAATCAAAAAAGCATTCAAAAGAAGCATTTGGGCTAATGCAGTTCCTTCTCTACGGCACAATCACAGAGATTTCTACGTAAAAACTACTGTGAAAACAACAAAGGATTCCTTTTGTGATTTTAAGATTGCTTCAGGGTGCGGATTTTCCAAATCAAATCTGAGATCAGTAAATAGTTTACTGGAAGAGTTACAAAACCCTGAAGGGGAAGGCTTTTAAAAAGTGAATGTGTGGGAGGTTAACAGAAATACTAGGACAACCTCCAACAGCTGAACTGCAGTCTTATAACACCACACTGGAAATTTAAGCTCAATGAAGTTATTTACTACTGTATTTTTAGAGTTAGAACAGGCTAAGACACTACAGTGGTTCCATAGTACTGAAAGTGTCTACTCTACAAAAGTAGAGGAGTTTGAAAAGATTTGTGGCCAGACCACATTATCATATAAACATGGTTTATGCTTGCCTGTGTGGATAGGAATTTTTTTGTAACCATGTCAGAAAACTGTGTTTTAACTTCAGGGTGAAATCCCAGCCCTTTTGTAATTAATGGCAAAACTCCCATTCACTGTAATACAGCCAGGATTTAACACATAAAGAGATTAACAAGTTTTCCATCGGCACAGCCGAAACACCAGCACATTATAACAACATTGATCTGCCATAGCTTTGGTCTGTCTACTAGGCTCTTCTTAGAAGCCTCCTAGTGGTATGGGCTGCACTGGTACCAACGATGGGATTTCTCCTACTGCTCACAGAAGATAGATGACATGGTGCTAAGAACATCAGGACCTGAGCTCTGTCTACATTAGCGCTCCCCTTGACACTACTGGCTAGTGTGGCAGCATCCACAGTGGTGCAACAGGGGGAGGTTCCGTAAAGAAGTCTATTGTAGACAGTTAACGAGTACATCTCTACTAGCAAATTTCTAATGTGTTTTTCAGTTGTCAGTGCAGCTGCTCAGCTGCTACCAGTGGTGAAAGCTCCAGTATGCACTGGGCACAAGCACTTTAACCAGCATGTCATCTGGGGAGTTATATGATGTGGTAGTAAAAATTCCTGTGCTTGATCTACAAGACACCTTGTACCTTGGTAGCACCCATGCTGCACCGCTGTGGAAAAACAAGGTAAGAAAGTTCCTAATGTAGGCAAAGCTTATGTTTTACAGACATATTTAACCTGGTTAGTTCTCTAATTTAGTTGGCGCCTACATGCCAAGCTGAACATCAGAGCTCTGCAAGTTCATCAGAGTGAGACTGGGTATCTGCCCATTGGTGGATCCTCTCCTTGCCCCCCCAACAATTACCACAGAACCGAGAAATTCTCAAGCTAAAATGTGTGCAAAATATATTCTGCATATGTCACAACTTATTCTTCCCTACAGACGACCTTCCAAGCATACTGAAAAGTTATTTTTCAAAAAATGAAAGGTACTGTGAGCGTGGGAAATCAGAGGTGGTGGAGCTGTAACCATCCTACCCAAAAAAAAGGTTAAATGATCATCCATGTTATTACAGTCTTGTGGGTTTTCTCTTTAAGTTTACATTTCTGGAGAGTGACATATCTGGGTTGTAATTTTAACCAATAGGAAACACATATATAGTTCCATTTACTGAACTCCTTGGTACAGAATCCAAATTGGTCGATGCGTATATATTATCGGTGTATTGAAATCCATTATTCTGGAATGGCTGGAGTTATTTTCTTTTATGATCACTCAATACTAACAGGTTTCAATACTAACAGTAATTCACAAGAGCAGTTTAGAGGATCAGGCCTAGTGAAATGTAGTGAGGCAATCAGCTTCCATTACCACTGTAATCCTTCACTGCCTGTAGTGTTTGGAATGTCCAAATGAAAGAAGCAGCCCTCATCTGCAGCTGTGAACTAGTGTCGTAAACTGTTCTGAGAAGACGACATTGAGGACTTGCTTAAAGATGTTACCACAAACCCGCTGCTTAAATCCAGACCTCGACCTTCTTTTTCCTAAAAAGTGGGGGGAAAAACAACCCTCAGCTCAGTAAAGTTTCAAAACAAGCAGGCTTTCAATCTTAACAGATTAAGTAGGCACATTATAATTGGTATTATTAGCATTCTGCTTACCATACCAAATATAGTACCACACCTTGCAGCATAATTCCACAAGTGCACATAATTGGCTTCTGGGATCTGTAAAATCTACAGCTGAGCCTCCCTTTTCTCCCACTCTTATTTGTGGATGAATCCAGAAACTAACAAGGGAATATGGGGGCTGCTGCTGTGTAAGTACCTTGGCTGATGTTTTCCCAGCTGTGGGTAGACTTGGCACAGCTAAAATCAGTGTGCTCTCTGCTGGTCTGGCCTAGGAAAGAAACCCAGTCAGGATGCCTTCTCTCTCCTACTTACCACTTTGGGGGTGGGAAGGTGGGTAGAAAACCCCCAGACGCAACCAGCACGGAGAAAAAGGGAAACTGCAGTACAACCACTGCAAGAGCCAATGGATGGGACTTTAAAAACCCCAAACAATGAAAGGGTACTAGAAAGATTCTGTATTCAACAATGCAGAAATGTACATCACAGGAATTTCACCAGCTAGCCGCTTCATGCAGGTTTTCTGCAAGAGTTATCAGATCGGCTTTTCAAGCCTATTAAACAGCTACACCATGAGGGCCATTTGCCTTTTGATCCTCTATCTCTTGAACGCATGTGGTCACCCGACGAGCTAACACTGCCTTTAATGCTGTAATGCAGGAGCCATACAAAAGCAGTTACCACTGTGCTAGTTAAAATAGAACAACCCAAAATACTTACAGCTCTGTAATCCAAGAACATTTCTTTGAATGCCAGAAAATCAGTAAATGTGAGAAGCATGTCAAATATATCACCTGCCATCTCGTCTTTGTGCTGTCTGTAAAGTGGGAGATTTGTAGGTTTAACATAGTTGTGAGACATGACATCAGATTTTAAAGGCACTTGGAGGTCAAATTTAGTACACAATGTAAGTAGTGCAAAATCAAGATTTAAACAAGACCAATAGGAAGGTATTTAAAATTCTAATGTAAAACAGCTTTATTAAACAAAACCAATCCCCTGTAGTGTCTGCAATACAAACATCGCAACGTTCTATCTACCTAAGGTTTTCATACAGTTAAGTTTATCCCCTAAATCCAGAGAGACCTGAGTATTGCACCAGTCGAAAGAAACCAGACAGTGAAAGATTGGTAATTTAAAAGGAGTAAAGCTTGATTCGTCCACATTTTCATTGCCTGAAATAAGAGAAATGCTAAAAAAAAAACAAGTGAAAAATCTTAGAGTTTTAGTCCTTTTAATTATTTCAGGCATTGCAAGTAACAAAGGAGTTATTCACTTTAACTGAACTTTAAGTAGATTGTCAGTACACATCCACTTTCATAGGACTTATTCTAAGCAATTAAGATTCTCCTAATATTATTGAAAAGCCCTGTTCCTTACATTGATGGATGGTCTAACCATACTACTGTACTTTCATGCAAATTTCTTGATGCTTTATTCAAATATTTGAAGCAGTTTTAGTCCTTTTTAGGAGTCCATTTCTAATAGCATTTGATTTTCTTATTCAGCAGAAGAAAATATGTTCCTTTAACAACTTCATTCTCCACATAATTAAGCTAAAGCTGAACAGCAGAAATTACTTTAAATTGAGAGTAACCCTCCAACAATGTCAACAGAAACTTTTCACCAAAACTGAATTACTCTTTGCATTCTTTTATAAAATAGGGATTGGGGTAAAGCCATTTACTGAGGCTGTTTCTGAAAGCCTAAGTACAGAAAACCTAGTGGGCTTAATGCAAGTGGCCTTTTAACCCCCAGGGAACTGGCTTCGAGTCCTGAATTGGGGAATAAGAGAAATCAAGTTTAATGGTCTCGTTCTGGTCCCCATTTCTGCATATCACAAACCTTCCATACATTTTGGCACAACATTTCAAGTCAGAGGCCTAGAATAGCAGGGGATGGTGGAGGTGAGGATGGAGGTGAATTAGCAGAATTGTATAGACAAACTCACATTTCCTTTTTTAAACAAGAATCCCTTCCACAAAGGGGAAAAAAAATAATAAAAAAAATCAAATCCTAGTTTGGTCCCAGGTACAAAATGGTTAATACAGAGAAAAGCACAAGAAAAATACCCCAAACCAAAGACTTACTGTAATGACATGGTGAAAGCAGCCATACTAAAACCAGGAATCCTGTCAAGTAGTTTTTCTTCTATGTATTTCTCTACTAAGCAGATCTAAAAGAGAGGACATCATCATAAATTCCACATGCTGACTTGATAAAGGAGTGTGGTGTTCTCAGATTCCTACATATTATTCTCCATAGGCTTGTCTTCATTAGGTAAAATGCATCACAAATCCCATTGAAAGTGCAGAAAGTTCTAGCCAACGTTTGTCCAATGCTTTGCAATACCACCAAAGAGCCATCGTTAAGCATGTTTGCAAGAACAGGTTGTAGCAGTAAACAACCTCTACTTGAAACCAGTACCTGAAACTAATGTTAATTAATTTTAAGGAACTGACAACTGAGCTCCTCTAAACAATTTTTGTGGCCTTCAACCACTTTTTTCTGACCCTTTTAAAGATATTTTGTTTCTCCAGTTTGTACAGAAACCATACAACGAAGAAAACTAACTATACAGAGGAAATAGTGAAACTGATTTTACATGGTGCTGTCAAATACATTAAGCAAACAAACAGAAAAAAAAACCCCAGAAGCTATTATTTTCCTTTAAGCTCAGTTATAGTAATCTTGTGTGTTATTTACAATAGTGGGTACAAAAAATTAGACTGAAGTGATTTTCAACTTGACAGCATCCCTTTAATGATGATTGGTTCGGATTATACTGTATAGTAACAGAAACAAATACTACACAAGTCTTAATTTTCATAGTGTTTTGTCCCACTTCCTTTACTGACCTCTATGCAATAGAACTTCTACCAATTCACTAGGGAAGAATGCAGAATGTATCAAATAATTTTTCCCTTAATTGCTAGCTAACGTATCAGTCAAACTACAACCAGACCCCAAATGAGGGGGATATAAAGTATCATGCTTCAGAGTCACTAATAGAGATTAGGAGGAGACCTTCATGGGGGACAGATATTCCCAAATCTGCCTACTGGTGGGCTTCTTGCACCTTCCTCTGAAGCATCTATGGCTTGGCACTGCCAGAGACATGAGACAGGACTAGATGTTGAATCCAGTACGACAATTCCTATGTTCCTATTGTACTAATCTAAATACAACTATACCCCACACAGTGGCTGCCTAAACCAACCTTCCATCCAAAAGGCTTAAACTGTTCTCAAACACTTGTAGAAGATTCCTTGGCGAAACAGAAAAAAGTATTTTGGAACTCCAGAATATTTTTGGTTGCTTGCAGGCTATTGCTATACTTCAAAGACACCATAGATAATATTTTACATGTATTTGATTCTGATCAAACTTGTATTTTAAAAACAGAGGGGAGAAAAGAACCTAACAATGACCTTAAAAGAAAAGCTAAGCACTCTATGAGAAAAACCACCAAAAAAAATCTTACATATTCATTAAAAATAGAAGTGTAGATGAGCTTGTTTTCTTCTGTATCTTCAAATTCCTGGTAGTGTTTATCCATAAAGCTTCTTTGTATTAACTGGAAATCGTCATCTGAGCCACAATAAGTAAATTGCATACAGTTACATTCAATTTATCCACTCATTGCAAGACAGTAATCACATTCACTAATGGCCTGTTCTAATAGCTCCTACTGCTGGAGCATGGAACCCCGCACATACACACTTGGTCACAATAACAGCAAAGCTGTTCGTTGGGCTAGCTTTAATTTCTGACCAATCTATGAGAATATATGGAGGCTGCTAGCAGAGTAGGTGGTGGTGAAGCAAAGAGTGCTACAGATTCAAATTCTGCTTCAGCCAAGTCAGCTGGGATTACCAGGATAGCAGCATGTTGATCTATGTTGCGAATGCTGTACATTTAATGATGGAAAAGGATAGAATTTGCAAAAGGCAGCAAAACTGCTAGGGCACATACTCAAACAATCTACTTTTCTATTTTCAAGTAAAGATTTTCACATGTTCTCAATATTAAGGCAGTTCTTTAAAATTAACTTTTAATAAAGAGGCTGTTAGTTTTCAAACAATCAGGTTTTTTGTTCAGGTATGTGAGTTATCAGTGAACTTTTTTTTTTTTTAGAAGTATATTTTTCTTCCCTCCATTAGTTAAAAGACAATGGATTTTTCTTATCTCTGAAAATGAGTGCAGAAAGCTATAACCCTTAAAGGACAATTTTTGAGTCATCAATGAGTGAAATTGGAGGAAGGCAAAAGGGCAGGAAGTGGAACTTAACGTATCATAACAGGTGCAAATATAAATTACACACTGACACAGTGTTAAAATAAATCTGCACAAATCTAATCTTTTATTAATTAACCCACTCAAAACTGGTGAACTTGTGACCATTTCTCCAGATTCAGCTATACATATCACAAGGTGAGCAGCTGAGAGTGAAAAGAATAAAAAACTTTATGATCCCTTAGAAAGGTGTGTGAATAAGGAGGAAGATGTTAACCAGTCATCAACCTCTTCAAGTTAACACAATGAGTTCTCTTTTTCTCTTGGCATCTTGTAAATCCTCTTTATTCAACCCTGACCTCTTACTTCAAATTTCTCACTTGACGATTTAGAATCTTTTATCCTCCCAAGCCCACAGGGAAAAATGGTTGACTGCTTGTGGCATTCTTTCCTCCAATAGATCCTGTCACCTTAGGTTGTATGTGTGTAAGTTACTTGCAACAAAAAGGAAAACCAATTCGTTTACCCAGAGGATAAGTGGGATGTCATATGACATGGAGGGACAGACAGCAGAGAGGATGGAAAACCTTGGTTTTCACGTGAGAATTTATCAGGATCTTTATTTACCACAACTTTATCAATGAAGAGAGGGTTTCTAGTCTCCCAGTAGTGCACAGGGGAAAAGACACATGCTTCGAACCCATGAATACACTGTTGGGAGAACAGAAACCAAAAGGGTTTGCTGGAGATTTTATACTGTAATGCAAGTTTTGTGCTAATGAAAGCAAGGAATTAAAAATTCCAACTCATAGGACACACGGAGAAGGCAGAGGCACTGGTTTCTCCACACACCTCTGTCAGTGACGTTCAATCCTTATTTTGCCTATCAATATTTTTACTGCTAATTTTTAGGCACATCTAAATTCAGGAGCTTACCCATTATAATATCTTCTAAATACCCAACAACCGCATCAAATTCTGCATCTGAGGGAGAGGAGCTGATAACAAAGAAAGGAAAGATTAATTTTTTAATGAAAGCCGAAAGACAAATTAGCACAATAACCCAGCCTGCACATCAGAGAAGGGAATTATCTTCCAACTTAACATTATAAAAAAAAAGGTCATTGCACAGAAAACTTTACTTAATAATAAAAAGTTTATTCCTGTAACAGACATTAATCTCACTCGGTCTCCACTGTATACTAAAGGGGGGTAGTTACTTATTGGAAAGAACTGTTTTATTGGGTATCTTTGATAGTGTAATTAACCTCTTGGTGCAGAAGATGTTTAAAAGGTTTGTTCAGAGCAACAGTTCTCCACCTTTTCCATACCGTGACCCGATGTCACAACGAAGTTTCAGTACCCACCTCTCATCTAGCCATAAAAGGTGGTTGTAACTCTACTGGAACTGTTCAAGACCCATCTGTAGAGGACCATTTGGAGCACCCAGTCATATATTACCAGACTGAGTATCAGGGCACTGCAAGGATGTTTTGCGCCCTAGGCGAAACTTCCACCTTGCACCCCCCGCCGTCCTGAAGCACCCCCCCCCCCGCGGCAGCTCCCCACCACCCTGAAGCGCCCCCCCTGCAGCAGCTCCCCGCTGCCCCCTCTTCCCTCGGGGAGCCGTGCAGCAACTCCCCTCGGCCCAGCTCACCTCTGCTCCGCCTCCTCCCCAAGCATGCCGCCCCCGCCTCCCAGGCTTGCGGCGCCAATCAGCTATTTAGCGCTGCAAGTCTGGGAGGGAAAGAAGCAGAGCAGGGCAGCTCGCTCAGAGGAGGAGGAGGCAGCGGAGCAGAGATGAGCTGGGGTGGGGAGTGGTTCCCCTGTGTGACCCTCCCCACCCCCGTTACTTGCTGCAGGTGGCCCTCCCTGCGCCCCTCTGCCCCAGCTCACCTCCGCCTCCCCGGAGCGCACGTTTGACCGCCCCCAACCACTTGGCACCCTAGGCGAGCGCCTAGTTCACCTAGTGGTTGCACCAGCCCTGCTGAGTATATAGTGTAGCAAAGGTAAATGATGTAATTTATAGCAATTGTTAAATATTTCTCTAATGCAGTGTACCACACTGGGGGTTTAGAACTAAATTTTGTAATCCCTTAATCTAAAAAACATGGTGCTTCTGTTTTATAACAAAAACATATGCTCTCTTTCAAATGGACTCCTTTAAATGGAGAAGCACATTAGCAGCACTTCAAAATCTGGGTCCCTCTGGCAATGTTATATTGTACAATTTGTTCATAGATACCGAAGTCTCCCTGACCTTGGCATTTTAGGGATGAACTTTACTTAAATAAATTCTCTAGGGTATTAAGTGCCCAACAGGCTTTTCTCCAATATCAGGAATGCAAGCCTTGCTGCACATTCTTCTTCAACATATTTATCTTCACCCATTCAATGAAGGCCCCACTTAATTAATATACAAATTCCCCTCTGTGTCTCTCATGTGAAGAAGGATATTGCTTTAGACCAGGGGTGGGCAAACTTTTTGGCCCCAGGGCCACATTGGGGTGTGAAACTGTATGGAGGGCTGGATAGGGAAGGCTATGCCTCCCCAAACAGCCTAGCCTCTGCCCCCTATTTGCCCCCTCCCACTTCCCACTCCCTGACTGTTCCCCTCAGAACCTCCAACCCATCCAAGCCCCCCCCGCTCCTTGTCCCCTGACCGCCCTCTCCCAGGACCCCCTGCTCCAAACCGCCCCCCCCCCGGGACCCCACCCCCTATCCAACCCCCAATGCTCCCTGACTGCCCCCCCGAAACCTCCACCCCATCCAACCACCCCCTGCTCCCTGTTCCCTGACTGCCCCCCGGGACCCTCTGCCCCTTATCCAACACCCCCCACCCCCTCTTACCATACTGCTCAGAGCAGCAGGAGCTTGCAGCCCTGCTGCCCGCACGGCAGCATAGCTGCGGGACAGGGGGGACAGCAGGGGAAGGACCGGGGGCTAGCCTCCCGGCCAGGAGCTCAAGGGCTGGGCAGGACAGTCCCGTGGGCCGGATGTGGCCCGTGGGCTGTAGTTTGCCCACCTCTGCTTTAGACTGTCTATTTACAAAAAAGCCTTTAAAATGATATTGCTCTTAGCAACAGTTCAGTACCTTTATCCACCAGTAATTCCACTATTTGGGCATTGGGATTCATCTTGTTTTAGGAAAATTTAGAATACTACCATCCTCATTTACTGATCAAAAGTGGCCATTGTTATGCCTTTGCAGCCCAGACAAAGATAACACAAATGAATGGCAGAATACATGATACAACACCAGAGGGCAGAGTGCCACAACAAGAGTAGCTAAAGCATTAGCATCATATTTATGGTTCAAGACAATGGGGTAATTGTTTCTCACTTATGCACAAAAGCAGGAGCAGTTCAGACCTAACTCCCATTCTTTTCTTTAACGCGAGTGATGGCTACACTGATGAAAGAAGAAACATCTTTGTCATTTTATTATAGCTTGTTCTAACATTGTTGAATTTAAACTAACAGTTTAAACATTAGTTTTAGATTTGGTGTGGTAGTGAGTAGGGGAATTCTAATAATATTTTGTCCAGAAAATAATATCTGTATTTTCTACTCATTCCAACCACAGCACACAACAATTAATAATACCAGGGCCCGAAGTGCTGTGTAAGAATACATCTCTACATACATCACGCTTTTCAAGGAACACATTCAAATACAACTTCTAACAACGGTAAACTGGGTAGTAGAGAAAGTGAGACATATGGTGGGAGGGTCAGGAAGAGAAATTTTGAAGATACAGACATCCCTACAATTAAAGGGATCCTCAAAGTTATTAGGCTTCTAACTTCCATTGAAATCCATGGGGAGTTAGGTACCTAAATGCCTTTGTGGATCTGGGCCACAATGCTTATTTTGGTCCTTCAGTGAGGGGAATGTCTGGGAGAACAGCATGATCAAGGAGGGGTTAGCTTTCTGGGTATCAAGGGAAGGTTCAAGCAATTTTGAGTTCAATATTGCTTAAACTCTCACTTGTTCTTCCCTCTCTAGTACATCATATTGTTCTGAAGTCCATATTGTTCTTACATGAGTCTCTATCTTCTCATCAATATCATCTAACATCATTTTGGTTTTTTCCCCCTTTTCTATTTTTATTTAATTTATTTAGGAAGATTTAACAAGTTTACAAATCCTTACCATGTAAATATCAGAAACAAAACAATCATTAAACAGTTAGCTTTTGTTTCAAGAAACTTTATACAGGAATTTAGTCATCAGATCTTTCTATTTAATAAGGTGATACAAGATTACAAAGTGAGAATCTTTACAACCGCTCTGTCATTTCTAATGATTTTATTAAACTGAATGAAATCTTTATGTACACACCAGGCTGGTCCATCAAATTTGAATATTAAAAAAACTGAACAGGTATGCTGAGGTTTTTGCGCAGGTGAATACACTTTGAATTTTGAATAAAAGGTAACCAAATATATAAGCATGTATCTGTCTTCTGTCTATTTTGCCAGGCATATAATTGGCATGTTAATTTTTTGATAACCACAACCTCCCATATTTTTTTGAACCATTCCTCTAAAGTTGGGCTGTTATTCTTTTTCCAAAAAGAGGCTACAGTGGAGCTATTTTTAACTAGTAAAAATGTTATTCAAATGCTGATGTGTAATCTGGATTATACTTACATAGACACACCAAAGTTTTCCTCTTCTAAAGTCTCCATCATTTCTGCATCACCTGTTGCACCAAACAAACTTTTAGATAAGAATTAAAATGTTTCCTATATCAGCAATGTGTTTATTTTTTAAACAATAGATTACTTTTAGCACATATACAGCGTAAATCTTCAAAGTTGTCTATGAACATTGACTAGTTAGCCATAAGACAATCATTAAATACAAGACCTGCATCTTGTAGGATTTTGTGATCTCATTTAGGCATTCTTCCACGACTACTGACTTCTCTGCTTCTCCTCTAATACTCTGAATCCTGTAGTAACCTTCGCTGACCATAGGAGAACAGGCCTACAGAAATTTGCTTAACCCAGGAAAATGGTTTCAGTTGATACCTGGCACCTCCACCCAAAGCATATACCACTGGCCACTGTCAAAGCCAGGATATGGGAACTAGATGGATCTTCGGTATGATCCAGTCGGGAAATTTCAATGTTCTCATGTAGATTCCACCAGAGATCAGCCGAGGGCCAAGTCTCACAATATCAGCAGAAGCCCGTGATAGTACCTACATGTATTCTGACAGGTTTCAGAGTGGTAGCCCTGTTAGGCTGTATCAGCAAAAACAACGAGGAGTCCTTGGGGCACCTTAGGAACGAACATATTTGTTTTGGCATTAGCTTTCATGGGCTAAAATCCACTTCATCAGATGTATGGAATAGAAAATATAGGAGCAGGTATAAATACATGAAAAGATGGGCATTGCCTTACCAAGTTGGGGGGGGGGGGGGAAGAGACAGCGAGAATAGCCCACTTTAATTGAATTGTCTCGTTAGCACTGACCCCCACTTGGTAAGGCAACGCCGATCTTTTCATGTATTTTTACCTGCTCCTGTATTTTCCATGCATCTGAAGAAGTGGGTTTTTAGCCCACGAAAGCTCATGCCCAAATAAGTCTGTTAGTCTCTAGGGTGCCATAAGGAGCGCTCGTTGTTTTTACGTGTTTACTGTTCAATACATCCAGGGCGTTGAGGTCTGGGCAGATGCCCCAGGCCTGGTGAACCCCAAAGCACACAGCGAGCCCTACCCCAGGCCATACCTGGGTGCTGAATGGACGAGGTCTTTTCAAACCCAATTCCTGTCTCTGGCGGGCCTGGCAAGCGCAGGGGGGACCCAGCCGAGCCCGGGCTCGCTGGGCTGGGGGTCCCGGGGTTGTGCGGGGCAGGGGCCGAGCCCAGGCTCGCTGCGCTGGGGTCTCTCCGAGCTGTGCGGGCCGGGGGCACCCAGCCGAGCCCGGGCTCGGTGTGGGCTCGGCGCTGCACGAACCAGACTGGCTGCCGCCCGGTTAGAGACGCTCCCGCTGCTATCAGTCCTGGGGGAGGCCCAGGCCCAGGCCCGGGGTATCAGCCCCTCCCCGCCGCGGGCGCCGCGCAGTCCACCCCCCCGTACCTGGCTGCCGAGGGCCGCCGCGCTCGCTGGGGCTGGCGAGGCCTCCCCATGGAGTCCGTTACCCACGCCCCGCCCTCCCGTCGCCTCGGCAACGCTCCCTTCCGCCACGCGCCAGCCCGGAGCCAATGAGAGCGCGAGGCTGGGGCTGCGCGGCGCGAGACGCCCGACGCGGCCGGGGAGGGAGCGCGCGCGTGTCGCTGCCGCGCGCGGACCCGGGGAGCCGGAGCTCGGGGAGAGGGTCACGTGCGGGGCCGGGCCCCCGGCGCCACCCTCCCCCCCTCCCTTTCCTGCCCCCCCGGGCCCACGCAGGGTCCCCCGCTGCTGCGCCAACCCCCAGGCAAAGACCACGACCAGGGAGCAGGTGGCCCCAGGGCTGCCGAGGGGTCCCGCGGAGCTAGGGTCGCTGAGCCCAGCCTTTCCACGCTCCTGAGTCAGCTCTTCCCTCTCCTACAGCGATCGCCCGGATAAGAATAAGGAAGTTGCTGCTCATACTTTCTTGGGGGGGAGGGAAATCAGATACTCACCTAATCCCACGACTCCAGGAGCTCAGGCTTCAGGGAAAAAAACACACAAGACTCAGTAAAATCACCAAGGTGAGGTTAGGTCTCCACTGCCACTTACTTTGGTATAACTTCTGCTGGCGCCGTAGCTACTTCTTCCCTGGGAGGTGGATTTATTATGCTGCCAGGAGAGCTGCCCTGATGTAGCACTTCTCCTGCAGACTAGCCCTTAGCAACACTGGCGATGACAGGGACATATTATGGGAGCAAGTTTTTTGCAGCCCCAAGGCAAGCAGCATGCCCTAGCAGGATAAGAAGGAATATCAAAATAGATATTTTTCAAAATAACCTTTTTAAGCAGAACACCAAGTAGCTTGCTTTTGGCATGATTTCCCATAAGATACAAGTCTCAAGATGCCCCTTTTTCTTAGGAGCACAGTTTCAGCCATCATTAAGAAGCAGTTTAAGTAACTTTAATTACCTTTTACATGTGCTTATTTAGTACTAGTTCACTACAGTAAACAAATTGAACAGAAGAAGTGTCACAAAGTTGGGTGTAATCATTTTCAAATGAATCTTTCCTACTAGTTCTGCCAAGTGGGTCCCAGAATTCTAATCAGTATTTTAATTAGCAGATAATGTCAACTGCCACTTGAAATTCCTCTTGTACAGAGGAGACACGGGAGGGTTGGTTCCTGTTCAAAAATGGAATGCATTCTAACTCTCCCCAAGTTTTAATAAAGGCCGGAGCTGCAATTCCATTAACATACTGCCAGGATGCTTTCAGGAGGAAATAGGCAATAGAACTGGTGCACTGGATGACACTCCCACTCTGTCAATGTCTCACATTCAAGGCTGTGAAACTTGTAGATAAACAGATAATGCTGCATGTTGCCAGCAGTTAGTAGAATACATTAAGTTGAATAATTTTTAAAAAAATCCATTTTCTGAGAGAGAATCCTTTCAATAGTATATCCCAATTGTTTTTAAAAATACAAATTCTGTTCCCCTGTTAATGTTTATAAAGGTCTTCACAAGAAAAATTAACTATGAGGAAATAATGAAACTAACTGCACAAAGTGCTGTCAGATGCACAACATGAATGAGAAAAAAAAATCTATTTTCTTACCGCTACAGTGATCATAGAAGGGTACAATACTCACCTGCGGAAGTGAAGAAACAGATTATAGAGCCAGAAGAGTTCCCAGAAGTCACCTACTACAGGACAGGCCTAACAAAGAAAATAACAGAACGCCACTAGCCGTCACCTTCAGCCCCCAACTAAAACCCCTCCAACGCATTATTAAGGATCTACAACCTATCCTGAAGGACGACCCATCACTCTCACAAATCTTGGGAGACAGGCCAGTCCTTGCCTACAGACAGCCCCCCAACCTGAAGCAAATACTCACCAGCAACCACATACCATACAACAGAACCACTAACCCAGGAACCTATCCTTGCAACAAAGTCCGATGCCAACTGTGCCCACATATCTATTCAGGGGACACCATCACAGGGCCTAATAACATCAGCCACACTATCAGAGGCTTGTTCACCTGCACATCCACCAATGTGATATATACCATGTGCCAGCAATGCCCCTCTGCCATGTACATTGGTCAAACTGGACAGTCTCTACGTAAAAGAATAAATGGACACAAATCAGATGTCAAGAATTATAACATTCAAAAACCAGTCGGAGAACACTTCAATCTCTCTGGTCACGCAATTACAGACATGAAAGTTGCGATATTACAAAAAAAAAAACCACTTCAAATCCATACTCCAGCGAGAAACTGTTGAATTGGAATTCATTTGCAAATTGGATACAATTAACTTAGGCTTGAATAGGGACTGGGAGTGGTTAAGTCATTATGCAAGGTAACCTATTTTCCCTTGTTTTTTCCTACCCCCCGCCCCAGACGTTCTTGTTAAACCCTGGATTTGTGCTGGAAATGGCCCACCTTGATTATCATACACATTGTAAGGAGAGTGATCACTTTAGATAAGCTATTACCAGCAGGAGAGTGGGGTGGGGGGAGGTATTTTTTCATGCTTTGTGTGTATAAAAAGATCTTCTACACTTTCCACAGTATGCATCCGATGAAGTGAGCTGTAGCTCACAAAAGCTTATGCTCAAATAAATTGGTTAGTCTCTAAGGTGCCACAAGTACTCCTTAACTATGAAGTAATGTCAAATCTGATTTTCAAAAGACATGGTCTAATTAACCAATTAAGATTAACCAAAACTGCTCAATTTGTCTGTAGTTGTTTCATGGTATAAACTTGGTGGTCTTCTGAAATTAAATCCCCTTCCATTTATTTTGGCTATTGGACTCCAAGCCTGGCCATGCTGTCTCCGGCCTCACTTACTGACATTTACCTAGAAATGAACAAAACCACTTAAGGTTGTGATGGTACAGAACAGGGCAGCCTACCTGCTATATAACCAGATGATACAAATGCAGCATGCTGGTGCTGGACAAACTTCCTAGAGAATTCTGGATTGAATTCAAAATCTTGGTCCTGCTCTTCAAAGCCTTCTACAGACTGGGGCTAAGTTCCTCTTGGAGCTGCCTTTTCCTCATCCCTCCAGAAACCAGCAGGGATTCAGCCAAAAGCTGCTCCATACCACTTGGAAGGCAAAATCAGATATACACAAAGTCAGCTGTTCAAGAACACTATTAACTGAACAATCTTTGCTGCTGGATCAAATTTCATAGAAACCTTACAGCATTGTGCAACACTTGAGTGAACGGCCCTGTAAACATCTTTTCATAATTGTTAAAAAACAAGACAATAGCACATCCTAGATTATCCAAATAACTCAAAGGCCATTCTATTTTTTGTATATTCAAAGCTTAACCACCTTCCCCACCATGGAACTTCCATTTTACTTGATGCAACACCGCACTGATAGACCTATCCAGTAATTGGTTCTGATTCTCTCCACTTTCCGCCTGTAAGAGAATGATCTTTCACCCCAATCATCTCACTGCCTTAATACTCAAATATTTCATCTACAGACAAGAGAAACGGCTCTGTCGATCACTGAAGACCCATGAATATCATAGTGATGGGTAGAGGATAGGTTCAGAACAACTGTCCAAGCCAGACTGAACCAGCTCATTAGTGGGATAAGTCTGGTTAAGATGAGCAGGGAAATAATTAACTTAGCAAAAGGACATTATTATTTGGATTTAGAGAAGCACTCATGATTCCCCACCTTTATGGGTGGCAAAAATGTTTTTGTCCTTCTTGCTTCTTTGTAACATATATACAGGTGTGAAAGCTTTTCTTTGGTTTTCTGCTCATTTTTCACCTTAGAAATATCACAGCTGCCAGGCTGACCTTCCCAGTTTTGGTTAAAGGTTTCCTTGGAGGACTAGAGAAATGGGAAGGAGGGGGTGGGGGAAGGGGGGGGGGAGGCTCTCTCAGCACTTGATGGGGAGGGGAGCATTAAACCTTTGAGCTCTTATCTCAGCTGTTTAACTCCTTAACAAACAAACAAACCTCCAAAGCTTTGAAACAATTTCACTACAAAATCGCTTTCCCCACAGGTTTCACTTCCTTGGTACCTGTGAAGCCACCACCTTTCCTAGCTTGTCCTTAAGGGTATGTCTACACTTCAACATAAGCCCAGGGTTAGTGAGACTCAAGTCAGCTAGCTGACCCATGTTAGGGAACCCTGGGCTTCAGCATCTACACTCTATTGTAACTTTAGGTAAAGAATTTTCTGACCCATGTTCAAACCCCGGGCTCTGGTGTCCACACTATAGTCCACAGACCTGAGTCAAAGTAACCATAACCCGGAGTCCCTCTCAGTGCTGCCCCCTGCCCACCAATGTGGCTTCTCTAGCTTATGGTGCAGTGGGAAAACTTTACTGCCCACCCTGCAAAATACCAGGAAACAGCTCACTTTGCAAAAGGCTTGATCAGTTTGCTTGCCATTGCAAACACAGGAGGCTCTGTTGTAAGCGTGCTTGCAGATCAGCGATTGGAACAGAAGAGGTTAACGCGGACCTGAGCTGCTGTCATTTGGCAAGCGTTTCAATAGAGTGGATTGCAGATTGTTGGGAGATAGAGGACTAAGGAAGTTGTCCCATGGAACTGTGGAATACTTCCAGATGCAGTCCTGCTTGACTGGGGTCACAGGAGTCAGCTGCACTAGAAATCAATAGGGCTTGGACTCTGGGTCCCGGCTTGACTCGAGCTCGGACCCTACAGAGTCCTGGGACCCTGGGTTTGAGCCCTGGGCTAGCACAATTGCAGCGTAGATGCAAGGGGGGGGGGGGGGGTTAGGCTCAAACGTGGGCTTACGTTGCAGTGTAGATACCCTACAGGTCTTCAAAGACTAAACAATAGACAGAGCTGAATGTGTAGTGTAAGAGTCAAGCTGAACTGCGCCA